CTGTGCCACACTTGAACCGAACATAGTTGTGAGGTTTCCGGCAAAAGAGTGCAACACGAATTCTGCAAAGGCAGAACGACCAAGCTCGTCATGTGCAGTGACAATGATCCAAATTGAAATCTGGGCCCCCAACCAAGGACGGATGGCATGAAACGAACCGCTGTTTCATGCACCCAGCCAAATCCAGAGTTTGTGATGATGACCACCTGGCAAACATGCAGCGACGAAAAGGCTTGACAAATCGGCCATGTGTTTCAGCCCTCTGACATGCTCCAGCACCTCTCTTGCCATCCTCTTTTACAGCTGCACATTTAAAGGAAGGCATGCAGATTGTCAAAGCCACGAGAGCCCAAGGGGCCCTTGGCTCCAGACTGCCACGGAGGAACCATGAGGCACATGCACCAGTTCACGCTGGACTCCGTCTCTGGGTGGTTTTGCATTCCTGGCGCTGAAGGGCGGTCCAATCCCTAATAGCCCCAAATACCTCTCAAAACGGCGCGTGAATCCGTGAACTTATAGAATGCCTGTTGTTTGTGATTTATGCCTATGTCATTCTCTCTAACGTATTGATCATTCTTCATATCATATGACATGTTCTAATCATATCCAAATCCCAAATTCCTTCCCACTGAGAAGCCGCTTTCCCGCTCCTTTTACCAACTCCAAGATCTCCTTGATGTTCCCCTGCATCTTCCCACTATGCGCCTGCGCCTCCCGCAGGTAGCTGGCCACGTCTGCCAGGCGGTCGCCACGTTCGGCCAGCACCGCCCCAGCGTTGGCCAACTCGTTGGCGTTGTCGCGGACCGTTTGGAGGGAGCGGCCCAGGTTCTCCAGCAAGGCGCCGGCCTTCTCCACACGTTCCGTGGGATCTTCTGGGATGTTCCTGATTCACGGGGAGAATTCAGTAACAAGAATACTACTAGTAACAGGCAGGAAGCTATTAGGTTGGAGGCCATCGCTATTCGCAGCAAGGATCAGCAAGGACGCTACTAGTTAGCTAGGGCATTACTACTAGTAACAAGAAGCTACTAGTAGCTATATAAGTAGGAGTTGTGAGGAATTCGGAGTTGAGAAAATCGTGAAGGTGGGAGATGATGTTGGGAGGGTCAGGGCATGGTGAAGTAGTTGTGAAGTGACCTGAATCATTTGAGTCGAGGAGTGTTCAAAGATATGGTATTTCTGCTTCCCACACCTATCATCATCTATCCATCTCAGGTCCAGTTGGGGAAACACGACCGTCGACTCCTATATACCGATGAAGTAGTCTAGGCTCTGCCCCAAGTCTGTATGAGCCAGATCAGCTGGTGTGGTTACAAAGCTGCAGCGGAACATGGCACGAGGCGCGAGGTTGTTCTTCAACCTCAAGACTCAAGACCTGACCCAACCAAGCGCATGAGCTGAGACGAAAGAAACCAATGGATGACATTCTGAACTTCTCAACTATAGTGGCAACCTTTGCAAAAAGTGTCTAAAGCTGAAGCTTGTGAGACACATGGGGAAAGTTGCCGGCTGGCCGTGTCAAACAAATAGTTGTATAGCATGACGTTTTCACTTGGACATCCACCAGTACTGATCCTTAGACTGGGCACATTCGAGCCATATCATATTCTGCACATGGTCAATCATGCGTTCCGTGTTCGAACACATGGCAATTCCTCACAACAAGTAATGAACGAAAGAGTAACTGAGGAACCCTGACTTCACCCAATTCTCCAGCTCCATAGCAGCATCTTGCCAACAAACAAGCCAGCTTCACCCTGCCATACTTGGAGGCCTGACAATGCATCTCGCTAAGCCCCGACCTACAGTATTTGTTTTGGACTTTCTGAAGTAACTGAAGTCGGGGGTCGTTGGCATGGCTGGGTGCTACATCATAATTGTTCCACTGCACTGGTCCCCAAGAAACAGTGTTTTTTGTCAGGCCAAGGTGTGGATGTTTGAACTGGCTGGTGTTGCAGCATGACAACTTCTTCTACTTTCTATGACAAATGCATGTCATGTTATATATGCACTGCATAGAATAATTACAGTACACATAGATAACTATATAGGGATTCCATGGGATTCCTTTGTTTCTGACCCACAACCCCTTTTTTCTGACCCACAACCTTTTTCCCAAAAGCATCTCCGATGCTTGGGCCCTTGTTTAGTCGCTAGTGCCGCGGAAGAATGCGGAAACGCGAGACGAAGCAAGCGTTTTTGTGGACCTAAGATGGGTGTGGACGGGGCTGTGGATGGAAGGAAAGGGCGCGAGACGGAAGGCGCATGGGTGTAGACGGGGCTGGGGGAGGAAGGGAGCAGGATGGGGCCTTTCAGGGATGCTACGCGCTGGGTCAAATCACAGCCCCAGGGTGCGTCCAATTCGGTCGGAGAGTTTTTGCTGAATGCTGCTCGCTCAGTATGGTAGGCCCTGGCAAGGGAGCCAACAGTGCACTAGCTCCAGGTGCGCAAATTGCGCCCTTTGCCTTCGAAGGGCTGTTTTGGGGGGCAATGCTGGGTTGAAGCCATGTTGCAATGGGTTGGAGACTAGCTGCAGAGATTGAAAGCCATTTGATGTGTATATATATAATACATCCAACCCCCAACCGGACTAAAAGGGAACCGTCTTGTTTTCTTCTTACTGC